GGTGCAGCGCTTTTCGCGGGCATACGTTGCGTCTTTAACAGGTACAATCGTGCATATATTTCCTCATTCCGGGGTTCCAAATGCCAATTTAGGAAATTCATCTATTTGTCATTTCACCTTTATCTTTCCCGGGTATAATACGAACAAATTTAATGATCAACTCCCAGTTACGTGCCGGTTGCCGACGCAAATTGGTTAGAGCCTTGCATCGGTATCGCAGTCAGGATTAATCCCGGCAAGTCCCCGATTTTTTTTCAGGCTTTTTTTCGCAACTGAATAAGTTGAGACTGTAACTATGCATTTGTTATATCTATGCAACTGGCCTTAGATCAGCACCTAGTAGTACCGGAAGAGGCGACATTTTTTATGAACATGGGTCAGTATAAAAATTTGATAAATTACTCTCACCCCGCCCGTCAACCCTGAATAAGCTTGAATACATCCTGGTCGTCATCAATTCTTGGGCCTCACTTCGTACACGTGCTCATGATTATCGGCCACACGTTTAAATGCGTTTGAACTAGGTAAATATTGGACGTTGAACCACAAATTGACGATAAAGTTTTTAAATTAATCTGAATCGAAGCTGGTGGCGTTGTAATATATAGTGAATTATGCATCGTTCATTATTTGAGGCATATTATCGGTGTTTGATATCAGAGCAAACTGCTTTTATTTAGCTTTTCCTTCAAAAAACACAATTTTATTGCAAAATATATATAAATTGTTATTTTATTAAAATGCATTCATAAATTATGCGAAATTTATCTGCATGAAATCTTTTGGTAAAATTTCATGCTTTTCTACAGAGGGTAAAATGGTATTTTCTTTTTTTTTTCAAAACGTTATTTTATATTTTTGCCCTTTCAAAAGGGATACAAAAATAATTAATAGCTTCAGTCTATAACACTGTAAATACCTGCTGAGATCCATTTCAATGAGGTGAATTTCCTACAATTTTCAGATTTACTTGACGCTTTACTTGATGCTTATTTCAGTCAAACGCTTTTAGCTTTCAAAGTTGTTATAAACAGCTGCTGCAAACTTTTTAAAGTTCCTGTTGATAAAACAGAATTTTTGCTTCAGCTTCAAGCTTTCCCTACGGCTAAAACTCAGGGTGAACATTTCTAATGCTGTATGATCTTTCAGGTATTTGAGACTTAAAAAACTATTTTCCATGAAACGAAAGGAATATCCTTAACTTACTTTACTTTTTCTTTGTTTGCTTGGTTTGTTTTGTTTTTTCCTTTTTTTTATTTCATGCATGTCCGTCTGACATTAATTATAAGACTGAGAAGAAAGGAAGAGTTGCTGCCGGTAAAAATTGATCAGAGCTCATGATTGTAGTACAGTTTAAGGCCAATGGTTTATGCTAAACTTTAAAAGCAAAGTACAATAGGCATATAGCCTTTATATAAAAAAAAAATACAAAAAAAAGGGGAAAAATGTAAGTTATATCGAGTTATGTTACTTATAAACAGTAGACCTCAACCTGACTGTAGTGTCAATGCCGTGTTCTTCAGTACTGCGCGCCAGCCCGGGTAAATATCCTACACGAGCACATATACAGAAGAGTCTCGCGCGCGAACTTCTCCGGAAAGTGGAAATATGCACATGTAGTTGTTCAATTCTATATCCTCGGTTTCAATTTAATTTATTCTCTGTTTTTGAATGTTGTACTGAGTTAAGGGTTGAGACTGTCGCGTAATTTTTCAGTGCGAACGCACGTAAAATTTACGCGCGTAAATGACATAGAGGTAATGTATGAAAGGCCACGCGAAAACGTGAAAGTTGAGCGAGGTTCAACTTTTACGTTTACGCGTGACCTTTCATACATTGTCGCTATTTTATTCAGGCGCGTAAAATTTAAGTGCGTACCCACGTAAAAATTATGCGAAAGTGGAAATCCGCCTTTATCCGAGTCAGTGCCTTACCGGCAAAAACACGGACAGGTTGGCCGTAAAGAAAAAGAGAAGTTCAAATACCGAGCTAGGCGCAGTGTGACATATGATTTCCGTCTTTGTACTCTCATCTTGTGGGTTCATTCATTCGGCTTTATTTCCGCCGATCTCTCGTGTCTGGTCTTTTTCCATCCCGAGAAGAGAGCAAGAACAAGAAGTCTCTAAATCTTTGAATACTCAAACTAAGCTGAGTGCCCTGCATTGCAAAAGCGACGATTTCTATTTGAACAACAGTCCCAGCTGCAAAAAGTTTAGAAATATATTTTATTTTCAATTAGCAACATAAGCAAAACTGAATATCAAGATTTCAAATGAAATCGCATTGTAAATTAAAGTTAAAAACTGTGACTATTTTTTTATAGAACATCGCTGAAGAGAAAAGATGTCATCAATGCGTGAAAAAAACTGAAAATGGTGCGTTACACGCCATTAATACACTTCGGTTAGCCAGTCAGCTCTCAGAATCTTGCTCAGAATTATAAGACAATGAATTGCAAATAAAAGGACAAAAAAACGAAATCAAGCCATAGGTAAAATTGCACCACATCAAGCATTATCGAAAAGGAAAAGCTGAAGACCGAGATGTTCGAAAAGAACGGGTGAAAACGCAGCGAAAACCAGCACAATTAAAACGGAAGTGAACACGCGACAATACATGTGACCCGAAATAGATGCTGATGTTTATTTCTAGCGGACTGACTGTTATTTCATAATTGGTCTTTTTGCCACTTTTTGTATGTCATTTTAAGAATACACGTTCCCAGGGATACCATTACTAAAAACCTCAAAGGAGCTGTGTCACGAAATTCAGCCAAATTAGGAAATTACAAAATGCCCGTTAAATTAAGAGGAACATAAAAATAACCGCCTAAAACTTTAAAGGAATGTTAAAATAACATAACAGAAACAACAGATGCCACGGATGGGCAAAACTGAAGAAAACTGTTCAGCCTAACAGTTTTCAAAGTTGATCCCTGCTGCTTGCAACTTCAAAAATAATGCTCAGAGTTCATATTTGTTCGTCTCGGATCTCTGATTTTATCATCTACATGTAATTTCTTTGCTGACTTTAAAGGGGCTATGTCAGCTGGAGAGCATGCGCTCTGAGGTTATGCAAATTACTTTCAACTGTCAAAATTCTATTGTTTTTAACGCGTGCCTTTCTCCATGTGCGCTCTGAGGTTATGCAAATTACTTTCAACTGTCAAAATTCTATTGTTTTTAACGCGTGACTTTCTTCATGTTCTCTGTCACGTCCAAGGTTCCGAATTTAGAGAGGTTAACAAGCGAAATGGGTTTAGATAAGGGATATTTCGATATAATTTATGGAACGTTTCTTCTCTGGTTATGCTAGATCAAGAATAAAATTGTGACGACAATTTTACTTGTAGTTTTGAAGTAAAAACGCATGCCATTCATAAAATAGAGCGCAAACAAAAATTCAACAACAACATATTGTCTTATTCAACAAAATAAATGGAAGTTGTATTTTACAAACGAGCTACAAAAGACGCTAGACCGAAGATAAAGACCAAGACTGTTTCAAATCATTAACAATTTGACTTGTCTGTCGCTATTGATTTTATAATTTAGATGCTGATAGAACAAGAGACCAAGTCTTTGTTTTGATCTTAGGGAAACATACATTATCGCGCAAAATTGTTCGATCGTGCCGAATCACTGCGACGTCGAGAAAAACAGAACCCAGCATCATTGGTATACTACTCCACTATAAGCAGTCCGTTGATAAAAAGGGAAGTAAACTCTGCTATTTTCCAAAATTATGCTCGAACACAAACAGTTAAAAAACATGGCATTTACAGGATCTAACTCGTACTAAGGTGCCTCTCTAAGTCCGTTGAGAACAATCTGGACGAGTAAACGGTCGTGTTTATCTTTGCCGTGAATCGAGATAAATACAAGAAGGAATCTAGCCGAATTTTAGAATGTTTCCTTCGCCAGGAGTTTAGTTTCGTCACGAAACTCATGGCCTGATGCTCTTGTAATCGTTTACAAAAAACGGCCGCCGCCAACTCGATAGCCGCTTCATTATATGTCCACATACTTTGAGCACAAGAAAAATCCAAGCGCCAGCAGCCTCTGAAATAACTCAATAGAAAGGTCCTGTGAACTATAGGGAAGATTCCATCAAAGATTCCATCACTCATTGTGGAGTAGCCGTCATTAACTCTGCCATTACAACGGCCGCTGATAAGAGGACACAGTAAATCCACGTAAAAACATTCCACAGGCAAACAATTTTAAAATAACGCCAAAAAATTGTTCTGTAATCACCATAGAACGATTCTTAATACAAAACTTCGCTAACTATCGAACGATGGCTGAGATTTAGACAGATAAAAACAGCCTTCCAAAATCTCCGACACAACTTGAAAAAGTTGGGTCGTCTTTTTCAAGTTTGTTTTCATTGGCCCGCGCATGCGTGTTGGGTGACATAGCCCCTTTAAGTTCCATACCGACTGAGGGCGAACGTAGGGCGAGTAAAATTAAACAAAATGAACTAGGGGCTGTCTTGACACAGCCCCTTTAAAAAGGCTGTAATTTTATTCATCGCCCCTTTCTTGTTTTCTTTAAAATTAATAATCATGGACCGAAGCAATTCCTTTTTGTGTTACTATTTCCATTCCAATTAATAGTTTCCTTATAAACTGAATAAAGTGACTTCGTGTATAGTGCAACTGATGGCATATGCCGTGATCTTAGGGGATCATTTGAGAAGAAAATTATCTAAATTCATAAATATTTGCTGTCCGCCTTTCAGACCTTAACTGACTTGAGGGAATGAACAGTGATGTCTATAAAATGCGAAAATTTAAAAATTGTTCGAACATTACTTTTACCCAGTTAGTCAAAAGGAAAAACAGCGGTTGGCTAGAACGCATACGGAAATACGGAGATCTCGGTGAAAATTTTCCGTCAAACTCAAATGGTTATTTTTTTTGGTATGAGAAAAAGTAACGGGATTGAGTCGTACCAATCATAAAATGCCACTAAATTTTCCATTTTCTTCTTAGCGGGAAGCCTGGCACTGGTTATCGACACAAATGGTTCAAAATTTTCGTTCGTTTCAAGAAAAGCGGGGGAAAGAGGATACCAAATGGAATGGTTCATCCAGGTGGAATGTGTGCTATACCGGATATTTGTATATATGTTTCGTCTGTGCTCACTGCTCAGCACTTTTGCCACTGCGCTTTGTTAAATTGAAATAAATCAGTCACACGCTAGTTTCCCCCCAACCAAGCGAAAGCAGCACTTAACAAAGCGAACCTTGACTTTGTCACTTGTGTTTTCTATCCATTTGGGGCTTACAGATTCTGATTGAAGTTATAATATAACCAGATTTCTCCTCCTGTTGTTGAAAGCGCTAATTTTATCTTATTTATATCTTTGGCACTCCATCGCAGAGTATTGTTTTCCTCGAAGTTATTAAAAAAAGGAAAAAAAAAGTTAATAATTATTTTAGTTAACAATTGCAACAGGCAAACTCATTGATTCTGCTTACTCTCCTCCCCCGCGCCCTTCTGAACAACACCTTAACATTACGTTTTACTTAAACAGGAGGATGAAGTTTATATTTGTGCTACCGCTGCTGCTGTGTTACAGTTCCGCTCAGGAACCTCGAGGTGAGTATATTGCACACTCGAACCTATGTGAGTGACTACCTTTCGTAAGCGACCGGCTAAGCAAAACACCAAAACTTTCCCAGTGAAAGCCCTACAGCTGGAACCTAGTAAACGACCACCTCCTGTAAGTGACTGCGACCACTATTTGGGGCTGACGGTTTAATGATTTCCATTGGTTTTAACCTCTTGTAAGCGACCACTTCGTGGTCCTTCAAGCATTGTCTGATCTCTATTCTCATTCGTATGAAAGCCGCTGCGTGACGATTTAATCAACTAGATTACTGCGTGCTCCCTTGGGAAGCAGTCTATTGGTCCTTTACGGTCCACAGGGAAATTCCCTAGGCCTTTTATACGCCCTAGCAAACAAATTCGCCGTCTTCTCGCAAGTCTACTCTACAACGGGCAAGCAAGTTTCCCCACCCTCCTCCCCTTCAGCGGCGCTGGCAAATTTTCTCTATCAGCCCACCCTATGCCTTATGCAAAATTTTTCACCCATAACTTATCCATCAAAAGGCATAAGGTGGCTTTTATGCGAATGTGAATTAGTTACTATTTTGGCTGTGTGTACTATCCTAATAGAAATATACGGACAACTTTAGCAAAACATGGAACTACACACTTGCAATAACTTATCTTCCATGAAAAAAGTTTGTGTTCGGACATCTCCTTAAGCGGCCATTGAGTCTGCATTTTTTGTACTCTCTTATGGGGGTTCACATGTATTTTTATGGCGCAGAATATACTATACGCCCCTATTTTTCTCCTGTCCGTCCACCCAATCAGCTGACATGGAGAAAACAGAGCTAAACAGAAACTAGTGTTTAACTAGTAATGAACAGTGCAACATTGATGCCGTTGTGTTTCAAACTTTGAAGGCTTTTGTTACGGTTGACCATACCTTACCATCATCTAAACTGGACTGTTACGGTATAAGCGGCCCCGAAGGAGACTGGTTCAGGTCATACCTTTACCAAATTCTCTTCTAAACACCCGTAGGCATCCATCTTCCAAAAGTGACCCCTCACCTTTGCATTTTGGGTTAATGCCGAAATGAGAGGTCAATGTATATTTCATGTTACCAAACGGATGCGACAGCAGGCAATTTGTTATGATTTGGAGAAATAACACAACAGTTTTCAATTCACAAGACAGGTTTCGGTAAACGTATGCCATCTTCATTTGTAGAAGCTCGTTACAATTTGAACTCTTCAGTTGTAGAAGTACTTACGATCAGTTACAATTTGAATATGCTAATTAACTACAATGATTTAATGAAAGCTAAATGTGACAGAGGAACAATGGGGAGAGAAAAAGAAACAGCATAAATAACAGTATTTATTTTGATTATAATATTTTTTGTCATGATAATTATGATAACGTAACCACAGGAAAAACAAAACACTCAGTATTGACAGCACAAGACAAGATAATCATAAACTAATATTACTTTCAAGAAAAAGATACATATTGCATTTTTTTATTGATCATTGTCTCAGGGTCGGCTACATTTTCTCCTTAAACTAGTTGTAGCTTTCGCTAAGTGCCAACGAAAGAAAAAGAATTTGCCTACATCACCGGTTTTAGTTCCAATGTTTATCCCGAACCATTTCAGCTGCTTAGGCGAGAATTTACACTACAAGAAATCCTCGTTCCTACATTTCTGCCATGCTCTTGGCCTTAAAATCGCTCTTATTCTTCTGCTTAGACATTTGGAACCTTAAACTTGTCGAGTTTCAAACAGCGAAAGGGAAATAACATTTATAGGTTAGCGCGAACTTGAAGTTCGTACAAGTACAGTAATGTGGCAGAGAATGGCCGAACTTTGAAGGTTAGTTTACAACAAAGGTCATCAAAAGTCACGTGAAACTACACGTGAAATCTAACGCCACTAAAATCCCCAGGAAATCTACACCTTACATTACGCTTTTCACAGCACGATCGAGAATTTTTCTGCCTGCTGCAATACTTCGCGTGGCATTAAGCTGGCCGCCTCGCAAGCCGACCGTCTTCGCTCGGTTTGCTCGTTTGCAATTAATCAAAAGCTGGGATGTAAGTTGTGACTCATTGGATTGGCATGTACAGGCTTATTCTTAACCTGTGCCACATTATTATAGTCCCCTGGTTCTAAAAGTTCTAGAAAAATAATGTCTGGTTGTACTGGAGAGTAAGATAATAGGAGATATGAAATGAATGTAAATACAAACATTTGTTATTCAATTTTGTAATGAGTGAAACAAAAGATTCTTTTGCCTAAAAATTGAAGAACTAATGCGCTTCTGGTTCGCAGTCAATAGGTGAGGTCAGCGTGAGTATCACTACAGCTGTACATGTATATCAAGCTTCTTTGGTCTTAACATTCTCAAGAGAGCCACAAAAAGAAACATTACAGTAATTGACGCCCGATAACTCGAACCCTCTCTAACTTGAACCAACAACGATTTCCCCTGGATTTGCTTCATACATTTACTGTAATTTTACCCTTGGTAACTTTACTGTTTGATAATTCATAATAAGTACAAGGCTTGACTGAGTAACAGTTTGTATGTACATCTGGCTTTTATTATAAGCCAACGCACAATGTACCTGTTTGGTGTATAGGAATTACATGTACATGTATTGATTATTTAACTTTTACATGATGTAATTATTGTAATAATTTATTGTAAATATACTTTGTTTTCTTTTGCAGATCTATTTGGAATTAAAGAACCTTTCCCTGCAAACATCTACCCTATTGAGGGGACTGAAACTAAAGTTACTTGTGTGGCTTTTGATCCATCAGGAAATAAAACTCCTGAAAGGATACAGTTTATGAGGAAAGATAATTTTGCACGCTACACAAATATAACAGCGAGTGAAAATGTTATATTTACAGAAACGACAGAACCTGCAGAACCTCCAGCAAGTGAGTTGTTTCTTTTTGGACATTCCTAAAGATACCGCCATGTACATGTACATGTATGGGTATGCTGAGTTGCTGTGGTTCAAGATATGACACCACCCCCCCCCCCTTGTACCAGGGTGGGGGTATGAATTTGCGTGTACGTCCGAGAGTTAACTCGTAGATACACATCATTGAGTTGTTATTGACGCTTTTACTCACTCACTCACTCACTCACTCACCCACTCACTTGGAGAGCGTCTCCAAATTTCAGAAAGCATTATTTAGATACAGTCGAACCTGTATATATAACGGCCCTGTATTAAGCGGCCAGTTTTCAAAGTCCCTATTTTTCACTCATACAAACGATGTATTTGTTACCTGTATTAGGTGGCCACTTCTTTTAAGCGGCCGCTGCCACCCTGTAGCAGTCCTAGCCTATGTTTGTCTTTCTTTGTTATTTTTACCTGTATTAAGCGGCCACCCTTGAACGGAAACTAATATGATCCAATATCAGTAAGGCAATCACTAAGGCAGAAACCTTAGCACGCGACTGACTTAGCACAAACGAGCGACGAGGAATGGTGACGTCAACAATCACATTGCTGAACACCATTTACAGACGCAACATTAAATAACGTATCCTACAGACTACTATCAACGACTTACTTTAGAAAGCTGGTTTACTAACTTAGAACAAACACCTCTGAATTGTTGCCAAAAGTTATAAGCACCGTACAAAAGACTTATTGACGAGATCAAGCAAAACTAACTACGACAGAACGACTGGAGAACTGACAATGTGACTAACAATACACAACTGTTAAACTGTAACAACAGACGGATCGAAACGGACCAATTACTGATTACGAGTCTTCATAGCCAATAACATCACGGCTTAACTGACAGACGACCAATAACATCGCGACGTAATTGACCAATCAGATCAATAACCAAAGTATAATACCATCAACTGACGTGATACAACTCACTTTAACTCTGAAGATGTCTACCGCACAGGTTGTCGAAACGTCAGTCACTGTCAACAACAACAGTCCTATTCAGGACTTCGTTCACCCGGACGACCAAACACAACCTACTATAATTTTTGTTCAATAACTTCAGAAATGAATTAAAAGAGCAGCTAAACAGTCTACGCCTGAAACATTAATTATAAAAAATGATCATGATGATATCGTTTGTTTAAGGAGAAAAACTGAGAATATTTTCCTTTTCAATGCACCATTTCTTTGCGTGATCAGTTTGAGTAGTTGGTTTCAGATAGACATCGGTGAAACCTGATCCTTGTCAACAACTTTGTTGCCTAGCAGATGACCGAAAGTTTTCTCTAATATTTACCAAAGTTGACGTGTCAAGTCGGCATGCTTTGCACTATACAAGCAGTGCTTGATACAGTGTACGTAGTTCTTAGTGTGCCCGAAGCGTGGTGATGAGAATGCGAGAATGAGCTGCTTGAAGAATAATTTATTTCCTTGATTTTGCCTCCGTTTCGATAAGATCATTTCAAAACATTTATTTTGGCATTTCCTCACTCGTATTCTGGTGCAAAATCGCACCGTTTTTCAGCAGACTTAAGTCAAGATGTTGGATCAATTTAAGATTTTAAGAATACATTCGAGAGTTTCCTTAGATGTAAATGTATGAAAGCAGTGCTGTCAACTCTCCCGGATAATCCATTTTGGACCGTATCTCCCGGTCTCCAGATTAGAGTCTGATATCTCCCAGATAATCGCCAAAGTTGCTATTTCTTGTAGACTCGACTTTCCGACCATAAAATTTCAAATATTTTGCGTTGTTTGAGCTACTGTTAACATGGAACGTCCTGTCATAAATTCTGGTATGCCACTGTAATTTAAGCAATAATCTGATAATGTGGCTAAATATGAACTGTTTATGTGCTATCAGTACGTCGATCGGAACCAACGAGCATTTTTGGCACAAATGACGTCATTTGTCGCGCTATATTAAGTCATCTATCATTCCTTCCCTATCAATTCTCCACATTTGATGTCGTGGAGGGTTAACAGCCCTGTGAAAGCTTGTTGCAAAGTTAATTGGGATTACATTTTAAAAGTAGCCAAGGACGCCAAGCGGGATGCTGAGTCCCTAAGCACCTTGGAATTTTATGGAAAATCGTACGATGATCTACGAGCAGAGTCTGTGAATAGCCTTAAACAGCTCTGGTCACGCCTAAATTTGATGTCATCCCGAGTCGAAAAGATCGGAGATTCAATTGAACAACTGCAAAGGTATAGTTTCCAGTACAATATCAAGATTATTGGCCTTCCAGAAAGCGAGACGCACGAATCGGCCTCCCAAACTGCCTCCCTGTGTATCAATCTTTTCAAAACCGCTGGAATTGAAATTTCAAATCAAGACATCGATATCGCCCATCGTATCCCTACCAGAATTGCCACTTCTAGCCCTCGACCAATTGTCTGCAAATTCACAAGAAGAACTGTGAAAGAGCAAGTAATGAATGCATGAAATAAAGCTTGTAAAGTGTCGGCCAATTCGATCGGACTACTGTCCAGTTATTCCTTGGAATACGTCAGGCTATTTGATCACCTTACTCCCTTGCTTCAGCAACTCTTGGCAGATTCAAAGAAATGTCAAAAGAGAAACGGCTTCAAGTTCTGCTGGGACAAGAACTGTATTATTTATCTTCGACGAACCGAAGATTCTCTCCCGATCCAAATCAAGTGCCACAACGACCTTGTGAACTTTGCAAATCAGAAGGGTTTACCCATGTACCTTTCACAAATTCCTGAGCAACTGACACTTTAATTAGCTGAACTTAGCCGTCACTATGATGGCTGACGAGTCGCATTTGGAATTTCTCTTTCCATTTAATCATTTAGATAATAGTTCCTTTAACCTAGCACTCTAAGAGTTATCCTATGGCCCTTTAAATCTCAATAGCAACCGTCTTGTAACACTCTTATTTAATCCTATAGGGCAACCTGAGTTATCCAACTCACTTTCCAGTCATCTGAACCCTGATTCTAATTTTATTGCTGGTCTACCCTCAAGTAATTACTTGGCCGAGGATGATATAAATAGTCGAGTAGCTCCCCTTAGCGACAAAATAAACTTTTCCATTATACACCTAAATGCTCGTAGCTTGCTAAAAAATCTTGACCAATTGAATTTAGTGCTTGGAAGTCTCAAAATCGGTGTTTCAGAAACGTGGCTGACTGATTGCACTGCAGAGCTGGTTAATATCACTGGACACAATTTTGTCTCAAACCATCGCAAATCCAAAACAGGTGGCGGAGTAGACATTTATTTACAAAACGACTTTCAATACAAACTTCTTAATGAATGCAAATTGTCAGATCCAGAGAAGATTGAGTCTTTATTCGTGGAGATTACAGTTCCCCACGGGAAAAACATTTTTGTTGGATCTGTGTAGAGACCGCCAAATCAAAACACGGCCTTGTTTCTAGACAAATTTAACGACATTCTTTCTCGTATTTCTAAGGACAACAAACAATGTTATGTTATGGAAGACTTTAACCTCGACCTTCTCCAGTACAACCATCATACAACAACTCAAGAATTTATCGACACTCTATTTTCCCACGCATTTATTCCTGTCATCTCCAATCCAACGCGCCTCACCTCTTATTCTGCAACCCTAATCGATAATATATTCACAAATAATCTTTCTCAAAATGTTTTAAATGGTATTGCTCTAAACGATTCATCCGATCACTTACCGGTTTTGCTTATTTTTCTGGCAAAACCCTGACGCGCGATGGAGAAAATAAAGTATTCATACGCAAAATTACTGACAAAAATTTGCATAAAGTCAACAAAAACGTTTCAAACACAAACTGGGCCTCATTTCTTGATGAAGATCCCAACACCAATGCCTGCTTCCCTTTAAAGGTCATTAAAGGCAAGCTACTGAACAACTGCAGCTCTCCTTGGATCACCCCGGGACTTCTGAAATCTATTAAGTAAACAAGAAAAACAGATTATAAAATAAATTCATCAGATCTCCCTCATTATGCAATGAGCGAAAGTATAAAACCTACAAAAACAAACTGAACCATTTAATTCGCATCGCAAAACGTAAATACTATGATACTAAGTTTGAGAGTGCCAAAAATGACCTTAGAACAACTTGGAAATTGATTAATGAGGTTATAAATAAGCGTAAAAGTAAATCACCTTTACCTTCATCACTTGCATCTGAGGGTAAAACGATAACGAGTCCTGTGGAAAATGCTGATAAATTCTGTAAATACTTTACTAATATTGGCCCCAACCTAGCTAGAGCAATACGCGACTTAAATTTCTCATTTAGTTCTTTTCTTGGTGGTGTTAACCATCCTCCTATCATCCAGCACCCTACCGACCCCTGTGAACTGGGAAGCATTTGTGGCATGGTTGCCTCGGGGAAGGCCCCCTGCTATGACAATATTTCAATGCGTGTAATTAAACACTCATTTCACCTGATTTCTGTCCCTCTGGCCAACATCATAAATCTGTCTTACAAAAAGGCATCATCCCTGATAAACTAAAAATTGCTAAAGTGATTCCTATTTACAAAGCAGATGATCCTATTCATTTTACAAACAACAGACCCATTTCTTTGTTGTCCATGCAATTTTTCCAAATTTTTTGAAAAAGTAATGTATAATCGCATGATTGAATTCGCCGAGCAGTATAATATACTATACCGCTGCTAGTTTGGATTTCGTGAAAACTATTCAACGTCCCATGCTCTAATCCATCTGATAAATAGAATCTCTTCGGCAATTGACCAGCGTGAAACTACTGCAGGTGTTTTCCTAGATCTCTCCAAAGCTTTTGACACTCTTGATCATCAAATCTTATTCATCAAGCTGGAGCACTATGGCATCCGTGATGTGGCTCTGCAGTGGAAAAAAAGCTACTTTTCTTGCCGTCAGCAATTCGTCTAAATTAATCAAACTTTTTCCTCAATGCAGACCGTTAAGTGTGAAGTTCCTCAAGGATCCATGTTAGGCCCCTTATTCTTCATACTTGACATAAATGATCTTCCCAACGCCTCCAAGTTAAGTGAGCTTCTACTTTTTGCTAACGACACGAGTATCTTTTTTCACACTTTAATCCGAACTACTTAGAGAATGTTCTTAATAACGAGTAACTAAATATTGACGTTTGGTTAGGTGCAATAAGCTCTCAGTTAATATCAAAAAGACAAATTGTTACCTTTAGTCCGAGTCAGAGGAAAGTCACTCACAGTTTTTCTCTCTCTTTTGGAGGTCAACCTCTAATTCAAAGCAATGTAACTAAATTTCTTGGGGTGCACCTAGACGAACATCTTACTTGTAAATATCACATAAACTTTGTCTGTAAACAAATCGCTAAAGCAATCGGTATTTTTTCCAGAACGCGTTTCTGCTTATCTTGTAATACCAAACTCACGCTGTACTACACATTAATTTATCCTTATATTGCTTCTTGTAACTGCACGTGGTCTTCTACTTACGTATCTAATTTATAATTAAACAGAATTTACTATCTACAAAAGCGGGCTGTGCGAGCTATTACAAATTCAGAATATTGAGCGCATACCGCTCCTCTATTCTCCAAATTGGAAATTCTAGATATTTTCCAAGTTAATACGCTCGATACTGCTAAATTTATGTTTCGCTACCACAATAATCTGCTGCCTCCACTCTTCCGCAATCTGTTTATGACAAACAGTCAAGTCCATAAATATGACACAAGAACAGCTAGTAATTATTGAGTGCATTCCTGTCGTACGAACATCAAGAAATTCACAACTCTTTACCAAAGGACCTAGAATATGGAACTGTCTTCCTGCATCTGTTACAAACTTGTCAAGCTTTTCTATCTTTAAGAACAAAGTGCTACAGTTTTTATTAAAATAGTTACTGAATTAGTCTAGCCGCACTTCTTCGCAGCCCTTATCGAGGGTGCTAATGTGGGTACCCAGTTCTCAGTTAACTACTATTTTTTCGGCCAAAAATTAGTTAACTACTACTTTTTTGGCCAATTCTCAGTTAACTACTAATTTTGGTTAGCTGTGAACTTTCACTTCCCTACAGCGCATATTATTCCGTCATAACCTGAATTTTACTTCAGCACGTCAATCAATTTTGGGGGTAGACCCTACTAAATTCAGGTCTAGACTTAAATGAATTGACATAAACTCCGCCACTATAGTACCATTTATAAGCTGAAAATATAGAAATGAAAAGAACATAATTATCTTACCGAAGTAGTAAAAATGGGTAACAGATAGCTATTAAGACTCCTATTAACCCATTTTTGCTGTAAGTACAAATAGGCCTTAACGGGTTTTGACGAGTAGGCAACCGCGTGAGAAATTACGGTGTTTGTATGAGAATCTAATGTCCAAAAATTTCCGTAAAACGGCTGTTCTGAAAAAAATATGAATTGTAAACTAAACTTTCACTCCTAACGATTCTTCAGAAAAAATCTGAGGTCGTTACATGCAGCTATATGCGTTAGAACCACTTTTTAAAATCTTTTTTGCAGACAAATAGGTGGAAAATCCTGAAGCAAGCGTCTGGAGAAATTTTAGCACAGCAACGGCCCCCAAAATTTGATAGTAAAATCCTTTGCTATGTAGCTTTAGTTTACAGTTCATATTTTTTTCAGAATAGCCGTTTTACGGAAATTATTCGACATTAGATTCTCATACAAACATTGTAATTTCTCACACGGTTGCCTACTCGTCAAGATGGCGTCGAAAACCGTGATAAGACCTATTAGATTAAGTCGTATAACCATCAACGTACATCCAGACGCACCGGTCATGATCTCGTACTGATCTTCCCGACGTGGTCATGCATGTCCTGCTACAAACTTCTTCAAAGTCACCTTCTTCGTCACTTTCAGTTCATCATCTGAATCAGTCTCGTACTTAAGTGGTTGCTGTATATCCTATCTAAGTTTCAATCCATTTTCAATCCTTGCAATCCACTGCAACAGACAGACGACGGGAAAGAATATCAATGCCAAAATATCGTCTTAAATAACAAGACTGGACCAATATTTTTGGCATTCAATTGATGCAAGAAAAAAGTTTTAGCTTTTTAAAAAGATAGCAAATAGCATGACATAGTCCCGAGACTCTGGTGGTTAAGATCCCCCTTTATCTTGAGTTGATTCGCTTCTTATAGTTGGTTGTCAAACAGTTCGAAAGGTCTCTATCCAGTCCCTCATTACAACTTCATCTTCTTTTGTCACTGTTTGCACCGATGGGAGAGACAGTTGAGACTGCTGACAAAACCATGAAAGTATTTGACACGAGACAATTCGACTCTTTGTGAGTGTAGTCCACTTCGAATTCCTAGTTCTTTTAAGCAATTCTTTCACTGTGTTTCCAAAGTCTTCGGCGTAGTTCAAAAGCATTAAATGTTTTGTGTTGAAGTGAGAAATCGCGTGTAGGTTTTCCAACTGCGTTGTCAAAAGTTTTTTGTACCTCGATACAGACTTTGTCGACATCCTCTTACGCGTCCCTCAATGTTACCTTTACAAACATCTCGTAAGTACAACTTCCATGTACTTAAAAAAAAACGCTGATTTTTTTGAGCCATCAGAACTTCTTTTTGGCCAGGTCTAATGCCTGCTAAGAGTCACAGCTTTTTTCTTTGGTTAGCAATGTTTAACTTGACGACGATCTTTGAGTTGTCTACACCCAGCTCTATGACTGACGCTTTCTGTTTGCCGGGTACTACTCTGGTGCCTTTTTGTATATACTAAAATCAGTTAATATGCCACCAGGTCATAAGTGGGACAGAAGAAAGTCAGAAAATAGCATTTCTGTTTGGAAAACTTTGCTACTTTCATTAACATTAACGATCGTATTCAGTATAATTAATAGAATCTCACTTAACTGTTAACTTTTCATTTCTCAGTTAACTACTAATTTTTTTGGCCAATTATCAGTTAACTACGAACCCCATGGGCACCCTCTTATTTCTTATTATATTGTGACGTCGAGGTGGCCTCTCTATATAAGCCTGGTGGTTTCTTGAGGTCTCCTCGCCTAACATTTGCTGTAAAAAAGGCTAATAAAATGATGATGAAGCGATTTTACAAACGAAACCCTTCGTGCACGTCACCAAATTTATGTCGATTAATCACGGCTTAAGTCCCTCAAGAAAATTTCCTTAGAATGAGTTACTATCGACCTTCTTCAAACCCGAGGATTGTTTTGTTTGTTACAACAATGAACCACAAAGCAAAGCTGTCTCAGTGAATAACAAAAGAAAAATATTTTTCTTCCCGGACGTGTCCGAGTGGACGCAGTTTTTCGTTATCGCTCACGCGTACCCTCGTCCGAGCTGATGCATTCATTGCGTCAGTTTCGCAACTGCATTGTTCGCTCAGTTCTGGCCTGCACTGTACCCCCATTATAAATGTTACAAACGCATCCTGCTCCAATGCCCCAATGCCCCAATGCCCCAATGCCCCAATGAATGCTACAAAAGCTGTAAAAACTATAACTGTCCCACCCCAATGCCCCATGAATAAGTTCAAAAAATTAGTACAAATTGGTAGACAATAATAGTCATCATTATTCTTTTTATGTACAGTAATTATATTGTAACACTTAAAACCCTTTGTCCCGTAGGCAGAAAGCTCATTGTAACTATGACCCTAAAGAAAGTTACACTTAATGATGACAGTACGTTTGGTGCACTGGGAAGGTACGAGTGTCATGCTTTTGCAGGAGGAGACCCTGTGGAGAGGAGACATGGATTTAGTGTCAATGTCATTTCAAGTAAGTACAACTGTATCTTGTTTTAGGAACATCATTTTGTGTATCATCATTATATATTGTGCATTGCTCGTTGTAAATAATATAGTCAAACCTAGCTCCTGAAAGCGACAGCCCAAAATGCCAAGATTTAGTGGTCGCTCCCAGGAGGTGGTCACTTGGAGAATCAAACTAATGGTGTCTCTTTCGAGTAGAGTTCCCGACACATCTACATTTTGGCAGATAATTTATTACAAGCAATTTGTAAGTTACGTCTGCTGTGTATGTAGTTCCATGTTCCACTGATAGTTGTTCGTATACTCTGAGTGGCGTAGTACAAACCGCTTAAAAAAAAGCCAGAACACACCATGAGTCAGGTGGTTGCTTACAGAAGGTTAAAAAAAATGTAATTAAAACGCTAGGGCCTCGAGTGGGAAAATTTTGGTGTTTGGATAGATGGTTGCTTATGGGAGGTGGTACGTTGCTAACAAGTGGTGGTCGCACATCATTGGAGGTTCAATTGTAGTAACCAGTGCAATGGTAAGTGTTCTGGTAACAATCCATCAATCACGAACAAATTCAGTTATCCATAACGATTGTAACAGTTCATCAGTTTCTTACATTGTTGGAAGGATAGTTCTTACAATCTCTTGTAACCTTTTTTCTTTTCCTCAATAGTCATGATTATACTCCCCCGAGTCTTTTTTTTTTTTCATTGTCTAATAAATTGTAAGAAATAATAAAAATCTGTAATGTGAGTGATTGTTACGTTAAAACTTGTCTCCAGGTTCTTTGTGATTATTATCCAAAGTTAAAAATAACATTATTAATTAATAGTGTTTCATTCTGTATGTTATTGTATTTCTTTTCTTTTCTTTTTTCTGTATAATTTAATAACGTCTTTATTTAAAGTCTTGTCCTGCCTAGATTAGCAGAATAGCTATTTGCAGGACATAAGGTATTGTAAACGTTATATTTCTTTAAATAAATACATTGTTGTTGTTGTTATTATGGTGGCTATACTGGAATTCTCCATTAGTCATTTCTTGTGATATATCACTGTATGTACAGTATTTGGAGGCATACCAATATCAAAGTGTTGAAAACATAAATAAATAATATATAATAGGCTTTATTTAAAGAGGGTAAAACTCTTAACAGTAGTCCTAAGACACTGATGTCTCTGTGGCCCGCAAAACAAATTACAAATATAGATTCTACAACTAAAAACTATAAAATATACCATTTTCGAAGATAATTTAAGATAAATATAATAGATAATTTCTAAAAAGACATTATGGCTAAGATAGATAAAAGCAACATAAAACTTATATACAATTACAGTCTAAGGAGGATCGCAGCCTTTTGTTCAGCTAGAAAGGATTTAAAAACGTTATGCTTAAAACTTGCTAGCGAGCCATTATTTCTTATATTGGTATTCATGCAATTCCAGTCCTTTATAGTCCTAATAGTCAAAGTGCGACCTCCTTCTGTTTTTCGTTTATAATTGGGGCACACCAAGTTTATGTTTGAATGTCTAGTGGCTCGCTTATGAATTTCTGAATTTCTGACTAATAGACTATTCAAATAAATAGGCGTGATATAATTGTGGACCCGCTTATACACTAGTGCGCATCTCTTTATTAGAGATAGTTTAGTAAAAGAAAAAAAACAATTGGAATTGTCAGTTTGCTTGCTTGCCTGTTACAATCATTAGCCTGTCATTCTATAAGTACGTAATATTTTTGCGGTTATAAGGCGCACTCGGTTATAAGACGCAACCCAAACTTTTCAACGCAATTTTTCTAAGTTAGCAAACTGAAAATTATATTAAGCCAAAATACCCATCTATAAGGTGCAGCCGCGATTTTTGGCGATTTTCACTTTAACTACAACAACCCACTGTCCAACGATGCTGATTACGGCCATTCATCTACGTGAACAAAAGCGAAAAAGGCTACATATTTCGATCAAAGATTAAAAATCACACCTATCAACACAAAAGCATTGTTTTCTAAAGCTGTGAATACTTAGGGAATCCGTTTTTGTTCCATAAACAAGGCAGCTTTCCTGTTTGCGGCATACATGTATTGACATCGGTACATGCATCGGTTTAAGCATCAACTAGATAAAATCGATCGCGTAATTAATACATAAGGCTGAATACTTTTTTAATTAACTGCCAAATGTGGTAAAATTAAGGCCTTGTTTATCAAAATAACTATGATAAAAGAGCTCTAGTAACCCTGGTACAAGGAGGGGGGGGGGGGGGGTGGAACCGCTCCCCAGAGTTTTTGATATGTTGCAGTATTTCGAAACGATTTTGCCTTCAGTGGAAAACCTTTGATCTTCTCAACAAGATGAGGTATATTTTATGGGTGGTGGCGCTGCTGGAGGCTTTTGACGTCAACAAAACAAAATAATATGGTCATTATCTTGGCTGCCATCTTGGATTTTACCAAGAATTAGAAATCAGGTTAAAATCGCGATAAATGGTAATTTTCTGTGCCTGACATGTAAAGTAACACAAAAATAAGCACTTCGAATCATTCTATCCACCGGTTTTACTTTTATTGTTGAAAAAAGATGAAAAAATATCATTTTCACTCGAAAATGGCTTTACTACCAGCTACTTGTTACGTCATATCTCGTAACTATAGTTACTGTGCATCACTAAACTTGTCTCAAAATGCTACTGAAAATGCACGTGAGGTGCTGATGTTTTATTGTCTAGGAAAAAAAATGTAAAGAACCTCAGAGGAGGGTGTGAAAATTGTATTGTTTGTTGAAAGCCGCAAGAAAAATTTGTATCTCCGAGGGTTAACAAATTTGGAACCTTTCTTTAGAAAATAAAGATCTGAAACGAAATCGCAGTGTAAGAATGACTCAAACATTTGCCTGGTTACCAAGCATCAACATTCAGTTCAAAAACGATCGATGCTAGATGATTTGTTTCGAATGCAAAATGATTTGTTTGTCGTTTAATACCAGCTTTAGAAGATGTAGAAGTCATTGAAAACCAATAACAATGAAGAGGATGAGCAGCTAGAGCTTTCATATATTTTGTTTTGTTGCACACCACGAAAATACAATAGATTTAGAGCTAGTAAGCAAACTTTCGTTGAAAAAATGCTGCAGCTTACAAGCGAAGAAATACGGGACATGTACATGTAAGAAACTACTGTTAGAACCCCGGTAACTCCAAATCTGATGGAAAAGGAAAAACAGTTCGAGTTAGCGGGGGACTTTTCAGGCCTTTTTCTGGGTAGCGATTTCTGTAGGGAAGGGAAATCTGTCTTTTTAGTCTGTTATAAAAAGCAAAAAAAGGGCCAACAGATGTATTTTATGGCAGTGAAAAAGTCGAGAAATGTTCTGGTATTGTAAATTATTGATATTTTAAAGACAGTGCATTTACAAAGCTGTAAACTACATGTATGGTATGTGAAAGGGGTACCTTTCATCAATAGAAGGTAATACAAAAGGGGTACATGTAGCTTTTCTGTCATAAATGGTATATAAAACGGTAAGGGGTCAGACTTCAGGGCGTGGCCTCCCCGTATAAACCTTTATTTAGTAAACCCCTTCCCCCCAACCCAGGGTTTTCAGTAAGATTTTAAGTGGGTCGCAAAAGCCACGGTTTGGAGTAGATGGAGAATGAAAAAAAATCACGGCAAAGGCGCGAGTTTCTGGGAAAAGTTTAAAATCTGAGCCTCTTAGAAGAATGCTTTCCCAGAATTCTGGAGCAAAAATGAGAGTGTTTGAACGGAACACAGACATCTTTAAATTTTGGCTTTTTTAGGGGTAATTTTCAAAGAAAAGTAGACGGCGAGTTCACGTGAATTTCGCGACCACCGTCTCTTATTGAACCCCCCCCGATGTGTCGAAAATGGAGTAACATGTAAATGGAAAATACAGAATCTTGAGACTGATGCATGAATTTGAAGAAAAATAGAAAAACTTGACTATATTTACATGTTGTGTTATTAAAACACGTGACATAAGTCTTCTAGTTGGTAGAATAATTGTTTTGAATTCTACTTGTAATATTTTTTTTATCATGTTTTTTTAAGTGTTCCCAGCATGTCATGGTATTAGCAAGTGTTTTGTTTTATCCCTTAAAAGCCCGGTTAAAATGTGCCGAGTTCAATAACTCCTATTTTTGTCAAATGATAAAAATAATTAAATACAGCAGTTGATTCAGATGTCGGATTTAATGGTGCCGATTTTACTCCGTTTGCTGTAATTTGTTCCCAGTAGGTAGGTAGGTAGAAACTTTATCTAATGAGGGTAACACATGACAGTAAACACTGACATGAACTAGTGGCCCTTAATCGTAATTAAATTATTTAGAACTAATAAAAATAGACACGACGAATTAAAATTTAAAAATACTACAAGATACAATCTTTAAATTTACGATATTAAAAACTATTAAGATAAACAAAGCGAATTTAAAAATACTATAAGAAAAGAAAAAGTGATTTGTTCATTAGAATTTAAAAATAGTCTTTAAAACAACTTGTTATCCAGTATGGATAATAGTTTCTATGATAATGCATGATACATACAGTCAACTCTCACCTTGTGGACACCCAGCTATAATGGACACCTCCATAATACGGACAGCAGCTAAATCCCAGGCAAAAATAAATCATAGATGTCTGACTGATATAACCTCTCGCTATTATTGAATCTCGCAAATGAGGACACTAAGTCAAGGTTGTTACGCCGCAAAATGTAACAATTGACGCGAAATGTAACAACTTTTGACGCGAAATGTAACAACTTTTGACGCAAAATGTAACAACTTTTTAACCCGAAATGTAACAACTTTTTGACGCAAAATGAAACAATATTTTTAACGCAAAGTGTAACAAGCAAAATGTTACAGCCTTGAAATAACTGAGAAACTTGGACATGAGCCTTGTAGATAAAGTGTAAATTGTCTGGTGATGTATGTTATGGTATTTTCTGGGGTGGTCAATTCGTTCGACTGTTTCAGGATTTAGTTACTATTATCGAAAAACGTTTTGTAAGTTTATTTGACATT